AGCCTATAAAAAGCCAAAAAATTATGTCAAAGATAGTATTTCGGTTGAATCAAGGTTCATGTTTGTTGGCTGTATGAAATCTAGTTGTATACGTAAAACATTGTATTCAACTGTCAGCAAGATGCGTTCGATAAGTGAAATTCATTTAGGCATTCATTGGTTTATCAATTTATTGTGTCTTCAGGTATCGTTTATTGTTGAACGTCCAGAATCGAGTGAGGCGAAATGTTGGGCAAAAGATGCGCTGAAGTCGGCCACAACTCGAACCTCTTCGACAGCACCACGTGAGAAATACAAATGGGCGAAAATGTCCGCTGAACAACGAGCAAAGGTGGAACAACAACAGCAATTACAGCAAAAACAACAACAACAACAATCTGCTCAAAATTTGTGCATTCATAAGGTATATTTCACACTGACTCCTCTTTTGTTTTAGTATTCATTTGATTGTTCTTTTGTTTCTTTGTTCATCCATTTAGCGTGATCCGTTCATATCCTTTTGAATATCCGCATTAACTGTCATAAACGGAAAAGTTTTCAACACTTCAACTTCATCATTCATTTTGAATCACCGTAATGTTCGATTTCGTTGATTCCATACAACATTCAATCGCTATGGCGGAATGTCGTTTATACGTTTCAAAATCGCTCGTGAATGTAATTATGAGACGAGCGATTACATACGTGATTCGTAGATTTGATCACATCTAACGATCAGTTTTCCTTGATATTAAGTTTCCGATGCCGCTACGAAATCTCCAAAGAATGTCGTCAAAATCAGTAGCAATAAACGGTTCTTAAAACTGAAACATTCACGCTTATCGCTTAGTTCAAATTTTTGTGCTTCTTCCTTTTGTAAGAATACATCGATTCGAACGCAATTTTGCGCGCAGTGGAAGTAACTAATATTCAATATGTACTTGAAGTATCACTTATTTATTTGATCAGCAATTCCAGCCCATTATGAGTTTATGTCTCCCTGTTATCACCAATATCACAAATATCACATACTTCCTTCC